TGAGGCTAAACCTGACAGGACAATTCAAGACAGTTGTAACAATAGCAGCAAAATAAGAAATTAGGACCTGCTGGATGCTGAAAAACTCCAGTTCTTAAGCACACAGTGGAGCAAGTGATACAGTTTAAAATACTGATATTTAGAAGCAAGTTGAAAGATGCATTTAATTCTGTTAAATGACTATATGCTTCCAGGAAAGGAAATCCAGAGGTGCACAGCCTGATACTTTGCTTTACGTCAGAAGAGATAAAAAGAAATGAAAGTTTTAAGAAAAGTTTAACTCCTAACTTTGTGGCACACCAAGGAAGGGGGTGGCATTTTCAGGCTGGAGCTGGGCTTTGGGTGTCTGTTCTCTTGGGTGCCTCAGCTCTCGGTTATTCCGGTGCGGGACAAGGCGCCGCTCCGGGCGAGGGATGCAGCTCCGGCGTTTTTGGCAGCTCTGGGTGCAGGTGCTCTCTGCATCACGGACGAAGGTGGCAATGCGGGTGCGCAGAGCCGCGGCCGGAGCTCCCGCGACGCGGGGCAGCCAGGGGATGGACGGGGCCGGCAGGAGCAGCAGGAGTCCCACCCTGCTGCCGTCCTGCTGCCGGGAAGGACAAAGCAGAAAAGACCTTCGGGGCTGCACCGCGGCCATGTTTAGCTCCATGGGAGTTGTTCTTTGACGCTTTAATTTAGTTCCAAGTATGATTTTTCTTTTCCTCTCTAAATTGAGTTAGTATTGCTTTGGATGATACCAAAACTTGAAGTATGGGTGTTTTTCTAGGGTATGACCCACCTTTTTCCAGTTCAGTTCTTCCAGATAAGCAAGAGAAAACAGAAATGAAGGCTTTCTTGTTCTTTGCTGTTGTTTTTTCTTTGTCAGTTCTGAGCAGAAATTGACTCTTTGGCAGCCACAGGTTCTCCTTGTTTGACTGCCAGTTTCAGCAACTTACTTATTCCTTACCTGGCTTGTGTAAATCCTGTGCTTTACTTGGACATGTGAAATCTGGGCAAGTTTCACTCATTCGGAAATGTGACTGTTCACAGGATTTTTTCCTAAACTGATAGCTACATGAAAGAAGAACGGAGACAAATAAATAAATAAAAACAAAGCCCAGCCTGGGGCAGATCATGTCCGTCTGTTTATGTAACGTGGTGCTGAAGTATTTTCTGAGTATTGAGATACGTTCTGTCCTGATGCCCTGGGCACGCGGCTGCTTCGAGGTGCTGCAGGCAGGGCCTGTCCTCGCGGAGCCAACACGGCCATGCTAGCGCTCGCAGCTCGGAGCCCTAGGGAGCCTCCGTAATGGCTCTCAGTACAAACAGCACCGTGAACCGCACAGACGGGTGAGAAACGCCATTCCAAATTCAGATGCTGGGGTATGGAGGAGGGGGCTGGAGTGTCAGTCAGGCAGTTACTACTTTCTGGCATATCTACGTTTTGCTGTTTAATCAGTAATTGAGGAGATGACTTCCATGTTTAATTATTGAAGATCAATGCTAGTTTCACATAAACAGATACACTGAGTCTGTTTGGGAAATAGGTCCTGTGGGCAGTTAATCTGGAATTGCTACTGGGTAGAAAATCAAGGCAGAAATCCCTGGTTGGAAGCTGCTCAGACTCACACGCTGCTATATTGGTCTGTGGGTGCATGGTCGATCCCGTGGGCAAAGGGGCTGCGGTCTTACCTGCTGCAGTAGTGTCACTGCAATCTGCACTGCTGCCCCGCCAATTCTCTGCCTCTCCTGGGCTGCTTAGGTGGTACCTGACCTCAGGCTTCCACAGGGAACAGAGCCTGGCTCCAAGGTTTGTTTTCAACACTAGAATCCTAAACACACTTTAAAAAATATGATAATTGGCTTTTGATTAGGGAATATATCTCTCTCCACCCAAAATAACTAATTTCTTTCAACTGGGTTGGGTTGTAAAGCTGTCTATAGGAAGTTCTTTTTATAATACATTTGTGTGCACTGATCAGACACAATATGGCATCTGGAAGAGACAGTAAATAATCTGATAACTTAAGCAAAAGCTCATTTACTCTGCAAACGCCTGCTACACAGATAACAGTAGCCAACTCTCCATGTATGTGTTGGGGCACAGAAGGCTGTTTTGGTTTTTGCCCCAAAGTTGTGGATTTAAGGATGCTGGTTTCTGTGCTGCTGTGATCCCCGAGTCCAGTAGAGTAGCTCAGGATTTGTACTGGTTTGAGTTCAGTGCAGAGAGAAAGCTGAGTGTCTGTAGGAAATAAATTAAAATGATCAGCAGTTGTAACAAGGGAAGCTTCAGCTGGCTGTAGGAGATCAGGGATGGGGGCTGCTCCATCCTGGGACCCCTGCAGAGTGCCTGGACTCACTGGTGAGCATCCGAGGCAGCTTCAGCGTTGGCCTCGCTTGGGGCGGCGGGCGGCACTGGCCTCATGCTCTTCAAAGCCTCTTCCTCCTCAACAGTCTGCTTGAACTAAGCATTTATCCCAATGCGCGTGGGCCCAGAAGAGTCCCCATTTCCCACACCAACGTGGTTTTCTTCCTGGCCAACGCAAACCGTCACCTGTGGCCCACGCGGGTGCTCCTGCTGCGGCTGCCCCCGCGGGGGCGGCAGCGGCACGTGGGGGGACGCCCTGCCCTTGCCTCCACGCAGGGAGCACTGCCAGGCGGGCCGGGTGCCCCGGAGGGGGCTCAGCGCGTGGCGGGACGGGACGGGCTGCGTGGGGTGAGTCCGTGCAGAGCCCTGGGGCTGCCGGCAGAGCTGGGGCTGTGGTGCTGGTGCCCCGTGCGTGACGGCAGCGCTGCGGACCTCGTGCCCCCACGCAGCAGGTCCCCAGCCCACTCTGCTGCTTGTTTCGGTGGAGACTCCTCTGTGCGAGGCCAGCATGGGGCGCAGTTAGGCTCTGTGGTTCGCAAGGGCAAGAGCACCAAGAGCCAGAGATGAGACTGAGCACTGTGAGGCCGAGACTATTGCAGGAATGTGCAAACGAGATTCCTTTTTTTTGTTGTTGTTGGTTTGAAAAACCCTGCTTGTGTTTTGCAGCATCTGAATGACATTCCCACAAGCATCTGAGTACGGCTGCCCAAGTGCTGCATGCAATTACAGATGCATTTGGAAAAGAAACAAAAAAAACAGGAAGCAGACATAACCACTGTGAATAAGCAGCTCTTCCTCTTAGACTTCATATTGCTCAAGTCGGGTTTGGCAGCCCAGCGGCTTGTTCCGTGCATTTTAGAAATCCTTACGCATTAAGGAGCTGTCACAGAGGTGTTCATTTTTGGTGTTTTTTTTTTTTTCCTACGCCTCCCTTCTTTTTTAATAGAGACCAGCTTAGTGTAACAGGAGGCCTCTGACAGGTACAAGCAGTATCCCCAGCACCCGGAATCTGGGGAGGCTGTGAGGGGAGGTGACCCGCAGGCCTCAATGTGTGTCCTGGTGCCAGGCGCATCCCCATGGTGCTCAGAGCAGCCTGCCCTGCCACGGGGAGCAGAGCCTGCGCCGCTGAGTGCTCCCTGGATGCTGCAAGAGCAACATCCCTACTGCAGCCTCAGGAGAAACAACAGTTCACACAGAGACAAGTAACACACAAACACAGGCTGAGAGTCACTTTTACAAGTTTCTTTATGAAATTAAATGTAGCCCCTGGTCTGGGGGAGATATAGTGCAAGAATGACTTTGTACATGCTACTGAATCCAGCTGTCCCTGGACGACCAGACCTTGGTCAGCTCCCGCATCGGCGCGCACCGCGTGAGAGCCACAGCCTCGTGCTGGGACAAGCGGGCGGCCTCCGTCCAAGGCTGCAGGGCTGCTCCTAGGCTAGGAATTCAGTCAGTATGGCTTCTAACTCTCACTATGGTAAGGCAAATCTTTCCTTTTGCTAACCGAGATTTAATGAATTTTTGGCCTTAGTTTTGAAACCTGGGTACCTAAAGACCTAAAGTGAGGCGCTCAAGGCCAGATTTCAGCCTTTAATACACGGCCTTGAGTTTGCTCTGTTGGTGTCAAACACCTGTAAAAACAGCCCTTACACCGAGGGGCTGAAGGGGGTGGCATAGCAATCGAGCTGTTAGTTTTCCAGAGCTGAACCACAGACCCTGGCTACTGGGAACTAGGTTTGCAAATATTGACCTTTTTGTTTAAAAAAAAAAAAATCAAATAAAAGAAAAACAGACAAACAGGCATCAAGTTAACAACATCTGACAAGACCAAGTACAGACTTACAAAATACACAGTTCTGGTTTTTACCATAAATAAACGCATTACAAATAATGAGCATTTTCATTGGCCAGGGAATACGGCAGAATGATGGACAGAAGAGAATCTAAGGAATTGAGTAAGGTATTAATTTAGGCACATTTTTCTCTAACTTACATAAGTCAAATCCCACAAGGGAGATTCTTGAATTTTCCTCATGCTGCAGGTTGATTGGCACCGTTAACATACTATTTAGTTCATCTGTGTGTTGAACTAAAGGAAAGAAAAGGGTCACAGTGCAGTACTCACTGTTGTCTGAGCGCCAGCCAAGGCTGACGGAGGGGTTACGAGTGTCGGATCACGTCCTTGGTGAGACTCGTGGGCCGGGGCGTGGGAGGGCAGCAGAAGGGGCTATCCCAGCCCAGCTCTGTTCCAGACCAGCACGGCCGCGCTGGGAGGCTGCGCACGGAGCTGGCCGCTGCATCAGCTGCCCTCCCCTCTCTGGCAGCTGCAGGACAGCACTAGTGGTCACAGCTGGAAGGAATGATTCTGAATACGCCTGACAAGCGGCATGTTTGCAGCTCCAGTATGTCAGGCTCCTGTGATCTCTTCCTGGAAGGTGGCCTCTTGGGCGCTGTGCAAGGCTGGCTTGATGGGACTGGCACACGCTGTGTCCCACCTCGGAGCCAGTGTGCTCAGTTGGGTCTGCAAAATAAATAGGGCAGGAAGGAGCACGTGGGCTGACCTCTGCAACCAGAGGCGTGGAAGAATCGGGGCTCCCTCTCCCAGGAGCGAGGGCTAAAGTGCTTTTGCCGAGGGCTGCAGCGGCGCGGGGCCGCCCCTACTTGCGGAAGGGCGTCAGCCTGCTGATGTTCTGCCAGAAGTTGGAGGGCTTGCGCTTGGGCTCTGCCAGCATGAAGACCTGCTGCTGCGGGAGCGTGGTGGGCAGCGTGGGGTGCTTCTGCCGCATCAGGAAGTCATAGTAGGGCCGGGTGACAGCTGCGACCACAAGGAGGGGGAGCACATGAGTTTGGCACCCTTCCCTGCCCCGCGTCCTGCCTCGTCCCGTACAACTGCAACCATAGCTGCAATTAAATCTACCTGTCTGCTCAGGAGCAGGAGCCCAGCAGAGGGGTGCTTCCTGCGCACACAGGCTCTCACCAAGGCTCTGTTACTCCCATAGGGTCCCCGGAAGGCCAAGCACAGACCAAGGGCACAGGCAGGAACAGGCTCTGCTGTGGTGGCCTTTATAACCCGCCGTCTCCCAGGGTCCCGGGAATGGGCTCTCTTCATTCCCTCACACGGGGTTGGCACAGGGCTTGCAGAGCCCAGCTTGTAGGCTGATATCCAAGCTAGACTTGGACTAGAAGCTGCTGCTCGTGTTTCACTGGGGCTACTGCCAGAGCACTCACCCTTAGGTGCAGAGCCAGGTACCTGAATCAGGAAACAGTTTCCTGACTCTGGCTCCTTGAAAAATGCAGGAACTGGGAACTGTTCTGCAACTGGTGCCATGTGAGCTCACCATCTGCCTACCCAAGAGTTGATGCCATTTGAGCAAAACTATTTCCCTCTATTAAAACAGGGCTTGTTCTGAATTTAAAAAGCACATGCAGATCCTGAAGAGGGTCAGTTACCAGCACTAGGCAGTTAAATTCACTTCTGCACAACAGTAAAACAGAGTTTTAGCACGGAAAAGGTCATTAAACTGAACTAGAAAACTAGACAAAATTATCTCTAAGCCTTGCCAATGTGTTTTTTAAAAGAAGATGTCACTCCTACCTGTTGTTCTGCCTCCAGGATAAAATAATTTTTTTTCTTTATGACACTGTTTCCACTCTTAATGCTGTGACTCTTCAGTTCAATCTAAATTTGATGTTTAAGAGATGGCGTTACCAGCCATATCTCCCATCAATAGAGGTATTTACCACCTGGAGCTAATAAAACTTCATGGCTTATAGTTATCAGCTTTTCTCTGCTGTGTTTAGTTTGAAGTCTTAGCTGGAAAAGATCTTGACTAAAATGTTAAATAAGCAAAGGGAAGGTTTGAAAACTTCTAAAAAAAACTGTAGACATTAAAAATTCAGGTGGTTGCATACTGGGTAAATCTTAGCTCCTGACTATGAATCTGCAGCTGAGGGAGTGTGCTGGTGAGAGTAACGTGGTTCAGATTTGCCGCTCTTTACCAGATTATTTTAACTTTCCATATCTCTGCACGCTGGGCGGGAACACGTCAGTCCAAGTGGTTCATCTGCTTTGCTACCCTCCCTCCTGCTTTTCACTTTTCTGTGGCCATGAAACCCTAGAACAAAGCTCTTGGCACTGAGCAGCGCTCGCTCGCTGCATCGGGTGAGGCAATAGGCCCTGGGCCCAGCCGGGGGCTGGTGCGGCGCAGCCCCCGTCACACAGAACCAACCCCTGGGGCTGCCCCGTGCATCGGCAGCGAGCAGGGCTGGCAACACTCACCCTTCGGCTTCCCCGGTGGCTGCTGCTTGCTGGCGTTCAGCATCGCCTGCTTCTTCTGCACCTCCGTGATGGAAAAGCCTTGAAGATAAAACAGTCTGTCAGGGGCAGGTCACCTCTTTGTACCTCATGGGAACGTGGGGCAGGGCCAGCAGGATGTCATGGTGCGTGGAATGTGGTGGGGCAGGAGGCACGAGCCTGAAATACTCACGGAGCCGCCACAGGGCATGTGCCCCCCATCCAGCCCAGGGCTGCAAATTTCATCCCACCATATGTGTCTGAATTAGGCAGTATTTAAACAACTGAATAAAAGCTGCCTCTTGTGCTGGGAGCCCTGGGCAGAACCTGTTCTCTGTAGATACTGCTGAGCTGAGCTCTTACTTCAAGCTGTACGTAAAGTATCAGCTACTTTGTCAGCCCTGCTGAGTTCATTAAAGGCAAACCGAGCTCTGCAAGCCGCACTGCTGCGGCGGCTCCCTGTGGTTTGGGGGATTTTTTTCTTTTACCACTGACACATGAGTTAAAGAGAGAGGCTTCCCTGAGAGCACACAAGTGTGCAGCCCTGGATGTGCTGGCCTTCCCTTGACACCTGTGCTGCGGCCAGGAGTGGGGGACGGTGCTGCCCTGGTGGCATCGGCCTTTCCGTACCAGTCTCCTGGTCAAGCTGAACCTGCCTCCTTTCACTCTCAAACGCCTTCAGCCAGCGCTGCTTCTGCTCAGGCTTTTTTGCACAGAATAAATGGACTTCCTCTGTGTCTCGGCAGTGCAGCTTAAACGCATTTTTCACACTGGTGTTGAAGTCCTTGTCCTTCCCATCCTCTACATCCAGTATTTCCATATCATCCATGTTGATCCGACTTTTATAATAAAGGATGTCCCGGCGCAGAAGATCCTGTAAGAGAGATCACACAGTCATACTGATTTTGCTGTTCTCTTTGTTCTCTAGACTCCTCTTGTCCTCTTCAACATGATGGCATTTTTAATCTTCTTAGTGGTCAATGAGGTCTAATGTAAGAGAAATTCATACAGGATTTGAATCTGTGGAATCACAGTTTTAAACTTCTTTTTGATACCTTGGCAGTGAGAGGATTTGCACAGTTCTGTCTGCTGGGTGAGGAAAGGTGCCCATCTAGAGATACTGGCTATCTGCCACGCTGAAGATCATTGGTAATATGAAGTTTATCTGGGGTTTGCTCCTAGAGCTTCCTTCAGGTCTATCATCTTGCACAGCCTTCAGCCAGTATCAGAGCAGAGAATTTGAATCCCACAATCCACATTTAAAAGCTGAAAAATTCTAGTTGGCTTTTGTTTTTTTTGTGTTGCAAATGAAAAGCAAATTTGATAGCAGTGATAAATAACGTTGAGGGTTTCACATCTTAGATTTATCTTCATATTTTCACTAAGCCTAGCAACAGGGCACTGCTTTCCTCTCTTGCTGTAAGAATTTGGTTGGGCATGCAGGCCGGCACAGTGTCCGAGAACACTGCAGTGACTGCACATAACACTCTGTCAGCCAGGAACACAGGGTATATTAAAGAAACGGGCATTTACAGAGCAAGCAAAACTGAACTGAGGGATGTGACTTGACCTGCGTTCATCAGCTTATAATAAACAGAAATTATGCCTGGTTTCAACTTACCTTCTTGCAGCAGACAAGCTGGTGATCAAAAAGGAAGAACATCCTCTGCTGGCTCTTGGCTTGAGGATGGGAGATTTTGGTTAATTCCCCAGAATAGATGAGTTCTGAGCTTCTGACTAGGACATCTTCACCCTGAGAGCAGCACAAAGAAGAGGCTGGTCTGCACCATCCCAGAACAAGGGAGGAGGATAAGTCAGCATGGAGGAGAATCTCAACTTGGCTGTGCAGCTGTTAGGGCTGATTTTCTGATGGTGAAACGTGTCTTCTAGGAATGAGAGGGAACCTCTGTGATGCAAGACAGTCCTTGTCACATCAGTGGGGACAGTGTTTGTGCCCTTGGTACCCAGAGAACATGAGCTGAATTTTGCTGGAACAAATGAAAGAGCTCCTTCTTCAAGGAGTGTGTTCAGGGTAGCTGATCCTTGAGCTGCATCCCTGACATTAAAGGAGCCACATAGCTGAGAATTTACCCTGACATCCTTGGGGAAGGAGAGGGCCTGGTTTTACTGAGGCTAGGATGTGAAAAATGTGGTTGGTTTGTTTGCTTTAGATGTTATTTTCTTATGTTGAGTCTCAAGGGAAGCTTGGCTTCTGTTATAGCTATATCAGAGCCTTTTTTTTTTCCCAAAAGAAAAATAATATGCTCTAAACTTAGGGTATAGTTCTGCCCATCTTGACAGTTTGAAATCAGATAAAATTGGGAGACAGAAGGAAATGGACAGAACTGCCCCAGATGCCAGGTTCAGTGTCCAAGGAAACAAAACTCCCAGGAAGCAGGCAGGAGGCTGCAGGTGGGTTAAGCACTAGCCCTTTAGGTAACAGGAGAAGATCAGGGCTGGGCTTTTAAAACAAATAAACCCAAGGTGAAGGGGAACAGAACTGAGGTAGGGACAGTAATAATCTGTATCATATGATTGCTGTGGGCAAGAGTTGTGTGGGGGAGAGGAGGGATGCCCAGATCGGGCAGTTTGGGGGGAAAGCTGGCTCTCACCTCCCAGTCTTCTATTGAACTCTGCCACTGAGCAATTTTGTCAATGTTCTCCAGCCGCCGCTTGCGCTCGTTGATGAGCTGAGCAACGTTCTTCATGGCATTTAAGGCAGCTTCAACGTCTTTAAAATCCCTAGGGTACAGTGGGGTTGTTAGGTGTGACCAGAAGACAAGAGCTGACTGTAGCTACCCTCCAAAGGAGTAGGGCTGGCCAGCACAAAACATGAGCTCCACATGCAGCTGCACAGTGTTTCTGAGGGCAGTTTTCCAGGAGACCCACGTTGTTTGTGAGGCCCAGAAAGCCAAGATTACAGCCTTGTGGCAAGTCCAGGCCCAATCTGCAGGAGGGCAGCAGGCAAGTAAGCAAATCTGGCCCCAGAGGTGTAAAATGACAATTGCTAAACCTCTTTTCTACAAGGCATTTTCAGGCCCTGTTTACCTCAAAGGACTAACGTGCATTACCAATGCCAGGCTGCAGGCGTGCGGGGCCTGCACTGGGTGCAAGCGCAGCAGTGATGCGCTGCCGTGTGGACAGGAGCTGCGGCTTCCCCGGGTGCTGGGAAAGACCCAGCCTCTCCACCATCTGCTGCCACCAGCCCCTGCTCCCAGAGCTGTGACAAGACCCACACTGCAGGGACGCGTCGCTGCCGCCGGCTCCCAGCAGCTCCTGCACTGCATTAAGGAGCTCCTTGTTAAGTGGGGGACTAGCGCATCAGCACGCTTGCACAAAAGCGAGACACAGAACAGTTCTGAGATGTTAGCCCTGAAATTAGGAAGGTAAAAACGCAGCTTAAATCACAATTCACCAATGTCAGTGCTTTCATCTGACATATATTTTTCCTTGTTACTTCTGTAGCTAATTATTTCAGACGCTTTAATTAATTGAGCCAGTTGAGCATCACCCTGAAATGGAGCAATAAGTTTCAGGCTTTCAATCAGGTCCTGAAGAAGCACCAACATTTGCATGTGCCTTCAATGTCACAGGCCAAGACTTCCCCTTGGGGGAAGACTGGCCACCTAGCCAGCCCCACTGAGCTGCCCTCCACATACAAGGTTGCATTAGTCCCTGGCCATGCAACTGCTCTCATGCTCCCCGACGCCTCCCCGGTGCCTACCTGTGCTGAGGGTTGGTGTATTTAAGCAGTTCAGCCAGTTGCAATGGGTATTTGCAGATCTTCTGCACAGGTGTTAGCAGGAACCCATCCAAGGAGATGTCGATCATCTTCTGCAGCAGGCGGCAGGCCTCGAAGAAGTAGACGTACTTGTTCACTTTGGTGAGCCGGGACAGCTCCATGCAGGCGTTGGGGTGGTTGTTGCAGTATTCAGAGTAGATCTGAAACTCTGTTTGCTGCAAGGGAACACGAAAAGCAATTTGGCATCCATGTTCTTTAAGGTGCCGGCCTGGCGCTGCAGCTGCTGTACGTGCTGCAGTAGCACATCTGGTTGCATCCTGCCCCTGACACTTTGAGGCCAGAGCACTTTAAGCTGGGGTTAGGGTGGGGTGTACGATAAGGCAAGTGCAGCTCCTCTGATGGACTTAAGACACTCCCATATATTCTGGCCCATGTTCAGGTGCATGTTTCAAAAGAACAAATTGGCAGTGACTATAAAGACCTGCAAAAAAAAATGTAGGCATAAACTCAGGCCCAGCCTAGGAGTGCTCCTGTATAATACAGAAAGAAGTTCTGTGTTTTACAGGCTGCCCAGTGACGGTTCTGTGGCCCATATGGCTTGCAGCTGAAGGTGCCACTGGCCCCTCAGGCAGTGTTATCCTGCAGGGGATACAGAGCTCAGCTGCTGTGGCACTTTGGAAATGTTCTCTGTGCAACCACGGGACCTAGAGGGTGTTTGGGTGGGTGTGTTCTGTTGGGTGGGGGAGAGGGGACAGATTGTTTCTTTGACTGGTGGAGTTTTTTCACCCACAGCTTCCACTCTGTCAGAACACCCTCCAAACCCTCTGGCCTAATCACCTGCCCCTTCCCCGTTAGGTAAGGCCATTCACTTACATATTCCAAGAAGCATGAGCCAACCTCACTCAAGTGTGGGTGGTCTTTATTGAACTTCTTTTCCAGTGCTTTAACAAATTTCTTTTGGCACCTGTAGATGTCTTCAATATTCCCGAAGATTGTTTTCAGCTGTTCTTCTGTAAACATGTCAGCTCTTTTGCGGCACTGCTTAATGTAACCCTGTGAGAAAAACAAATGGGAAAGGACGCTGGGCACTTGCTCCTGGGCCTTTGGATCCCAGAAGAAACCCCCATAGACGGCAGTCAGCTGCACACCAGGTTCCTGTGCCCCTCGCTCGCCTCCTTCAGTTATTTTTTCCTCTAATTCCACCCAGTATGGTAGAAACAGAACTCAAACCACACTGCCTTTAATGATATAACACTTGAAGGAGTCCCTGAGCTGTCTTGATCCTGTTAGAAACGTCTTTATTTGCCTGTAGGTAAAGGTGCTCTGATACCAGAACAGATATTTTTAAGCAGCCAAATCCAGCTGAGGCTCTGGTTCCGGTACCAGGAAATGACTGGCCAAGCCCAGGAAGGAGCAAGGTGAAGAGCACGGGGAGGGGAGGAAGGGGAGGGCATGGTGGAGGCCAGGCTGGCTCGGGACGCGCGCAGGGTCTCGTCCCAGCTCCCCTGTCACAGGGCAGGGTGTTTTTGTGCCTTTGCAGAGGCTGCATCGCTGCGAAGCTGCTCTGTCAAGTGCCATCATTTACTCCCATGTACATGGCAGCGCGCCTCATTCGGGAGCGGTGTCAGGATGCGCTGTGTATGTGGAAGTGAAGGATCTAATTGCCTGAACGTCCCCCAGTTGTTTCCATCTGAGCACATGACTTGCCCGAAGGCTGGGATCACTGAGTCTGTTACCTCAGATCATATATTAGGGAGGACAGCCATGTTAGACATTTACCATTCTCTGGCTTGGGAAATTCAATTAACTCCATTTAATCACAGCCCAACTGGGTAATCCAAATAAAGAGGCATTTGGGATACTGCCGTAATGCCTTTCCTCCCATTTTCTGAGCGTGCACCATCATTTAGCAGAGCAGATGTGGATGGAATTACCATCTTGTTCAGAAAGAAGGCAGGGAATTACTGTCCTAGGAACCTTATCTCCATGTACAGGTACAGGAACAGGCTATGCTCTTGCTCCCTTTAAAGATATTACCCTGGCTTCCCTCATTATTCTATTACCTCGCAGATGTCCTTCAGATGTTTGATGTAGTCTCTCTCTGTGCTTATGATCTCGTTGATGACATTGGTCCTCATTTGGTCTTTGGTGGTCTGTCCCATCCCAAAGCGCCGGGTGCCACCGCTGGAGTCGTCGTCTTTGCCACCCTCCACCTTTAGAGGATAGTCCTCCATAGGCTCATCCTGGTTTACTCGAAGCTGCGCCAAACACACGAGGATGCTCACTGTTGGTGCTGCCAACCACAGCTTCCGACTCAAAGCAAGGAGGTTTGCGAGAGATGACTGAGCAGCAGCCAAAGACCGAGCAGGAGAAGGAGTGACAAGGAATGCTATACACGCTACCCGCAGGTGCATCACCCACAGCAGGAGGCTAAGGGCAGACAGTTAGTGTTGGGAGGGTATTGGCAAACCCCACATGTGACATGGGTGGTTTTAAGCAAACGTCTCCTGCGCCAGAAGTCACGGGAATTATAAGTGGTCAAAAGCAGGGAGGAAATGGTTTATCAAGTGAAATTTGCTTGGGTATGTGTGTAGGGGCTCATAGGTCAGGGATGCGGTAAATAGTTGGTGTTTTACTGCTTCATGATTACTATCATATTATAAATAACAGATGGCGTCTCAGTGGCTGTTCTCCCAAGATTATTTAAAGATAATTTATTTTTAAAATAAAAGTAAATACAATTGCCAGCGGGCTTCTAATGCAGTAAGCAATGTCATGATACCGCAAGGCTGCGCGTAACTCGCGGTTCCTTTGGAGTGCCCATGAGAGGGCAGTACAGCACGAGCAGAGGAAAAGTCACCAGCTTTGGAGGACCAGCTGCACCCAGGGTCCGGCTGCGCTCAGCAGGGTGAAACTGCCCTAGCTCCCGCCGAGCCATCATCAGTGCATTTCACTTACAAGATTTCTTTTACGCACTAGCACCGTCACTGCATACAAAAGAGTTCCCAGAACGCCTGTGGGAATATTTTGTGCACAACCAGAATCATTAAGCTCAGCCCAGAGAAGAAAGGAAAAAAATAGAAGTGGGGAAAAAAATCATCAGTTCTTCTGTATCGTTTTCCAAGCAGGCATAAATATATGCAACTTTATTACAATGATACAGACCTACTTTAAATTTTTAATGCAGTTTCCTCTAGGCAGGATTACTCACCTCATATATTTATATATTTGTGTATTTATTTATGTATTTATATATCTATATATCATATAGATAGATGCAGACAGATAAATACTCCTCGTCTACATATGCACAGATTACATTTCCTCACTGTTTAAAGTTGGTGAAACCCTGCAAATGTGGGAGTCTTGTTTTCCTTCCTTGCTAGCAGAGCACTGGGAAGATCTTAAGCTCAGAGCTTTGCCTGAAACTGAGAGTAACTGACAGCCCTGCAAACACACAGGCCTTCCCAGCAATAAGCTCGTGATCCAGTGATCCTGGTACGGTATCTCCACACAGATACTTAAATAAGTGTTGGAATTGCTCCAGTAAAAGAATCTGTTATTCTGCATGCCTAATGGTTAGCACTAGCTAGTCTTATTTCCCCTGAAACATTATCTCATCAGAGGTCATTGCCAACCAGGACAGCAACTCAACATACCTGTAAATGAAGGGAAAAAGAAAGAGGTCTGTTTTGACTAGGAAAAAAAAAAGTTGTGCCCCTGCCAGTGGTGAAAGTTTAGTCCTAGGGATCTTACGTGCAAAAGCTACAGCAAAACATTTCAAAACTTTTATGGCAGTCTGTCCCACTTCTCTAAGGACTTTCGCTACAGCCACCAGATCGCCTCCTTTCATCTTCCACCTGGCTTTGGTCACTTGTGATCTAAGGCGACCTGGATAAGAAGCTAAAGGGCTGATAGTCTCTCTGCTCTTAGCCTTGAAGAGCCTGTCCTTAAAGTGGGGAAAGCAGTGCCAGGCCTCCACAGCAACAATCACAGCCTAAAGAAAAGAAAGATGCTGCTCTTCTTCTCGCAGAAAGAAAGCGAGCGCCCAGCAGTTACCCAGACTTTTGTTTGACCCACGACTCGCACAGAGAATTCAAATGCATTTTAGATTGCTCTATGAGGAATGAATGTGACCTCTGCGGTGCACACCTTTGTCTAGTCTGCTCATCACAAGCTATTTCTGTATGGGGTTCTTAGCCAGCACAAACAGAGAACTTTGGCACCAAAACAGATCAAAATCAAGAGTTTCTTGTCCCCACCGGAGCAGCTGTCCCACATGACTTCCAAGATGCTGCTCCTTTCCTGTGGTTTTCCCCTCCATTTTCAAGTGCCTGAAATTAAGTGCTCTGTTGCATCCCACCAGCCTCGTGCTTTCAAACCTCCATGATACAGGGAGGCGGTTGCACAATTTGGTGTGGTACTGGAGTTAGTACCAGATGGATAAAGCTAAGCCTGGTGTCGTGCTCATCTGTGCTGTTGGAAATGGACCTTAGAGCGAGGTCCTCTGCCAACTCTGTCTGGGCTTCCTCTGGGAGAGGATTAGTTTGAAGGGGAGGCAGGTTACCTGGATGCAGACTAGCCAATACACATAGGGATAGGCAGAAGCCCCGGTATCTACTGCTGAACTAGAGAGCAGCCAGACAGGCATGGCAGTTCCTCAGCATGCTCATTTTAGCTCCAGAGCCTGCAGCAACTGGGTTGCACTTGCCATGATTTACTGGTGGGGACAGGGAATTGCCCCTACACACGGCAGCGCCGTGCAGAGGGCTCACTGTGCAGCAGCCATGCGTTTAGGAAAGCTACAATGCAGATGTTGAACCAGCTACCTCTAAGTGTGGAAGCACTCGGCAGTCTTTATGTAATACAAATCCTCGGGTGAGGAGAAAAACAAAACAAAACAATGGAGAGGTGTGAAGAAATGCAGAGGTCTTACCCGTACAAAGCTGGCTGGAAACCAGCCTTCACTGTCCAGAATCCTCCCCCACCACCACTCCTTGTTGGTTGCGTCCATTACTTCAATGACATCGCCGGCCTTGAATCCCAGCTCCTGGTCATCCATCGTGACATGGTCCCAGAGGGCTTCTGCATACACCACGCTGCCATCACTGATGAGCTGTGGACAGAAGGGAAGCGGTCAGCACCATCCTCAGAGCCATGCCGGCACCTGCAGCACTGCCATCAGCGAGGACAAATGAGCTGCCCACTGCTGACTCTTTGCAAGCAAAGTGCAAAGGAGCTGGTGCTAGTCCAGCAACTGCTTTGAGTGCCCTTGCTCTCAATAGCATTTCTTGCAGGTGACTTTGCCTCAGCCAGCAAACTGGGCCCGGTGGTACAGTGTTGGTGGAGGCTGCTCTCATGGTTTGGAAAGCCTTGAAAGCCACCCAGGAGCTCCAGGGTTTCTAGACCCATACTTGAGAGCAGAAAGTCTTCTGAAGCTTCAGACCTGGTCTAGGATGAATGGAGCTTTAAGTCTTTAAGGTGGTTAAACTTAGCACTTAGGCTGCTTAAAATAAATCTCCTGAAGCCTTTAAGTAATTATGCTAACGGCCACTGGTTATTTATAATACATATCAAAGAGGGCTTATTCTAAGGGAAAAAGGAAGCCAGGCAATTAAAAGAAAAAAAACAGAACACGCCTCGAGACAGTGTGTGGGCTCTTAACACAGTGCTGACTGCACTCATACAGTCCATCCTGACGCCCATCCATACAGTGCTGACTGCATCCGTACATGCAGGCTGCCATTTCCAGCTGCTCCCGACGTAGCCACCTGAGGAGCTGATGCTGCAGTGGGTGTTTGATCCGTACCCCGGCCAAGCTGGACAGCGGCACATGACTGCCTGATACCCCCCGTTTCTCATAGCAGGGCAGAGCACAGCAACGCGGAGCCCCGCGGCCGCAGCAGCGAGGTGCCCGAGCCCAGCACCGCACGCGGAGCCCAACCCTGCGTCAGCAGCACTGGGGTGACACCACTGCCTCCCACGGGGACAAAGCCAGGCGGTTCTCACCAGACTTAATGAAAACTGTGTGACTAATGGGTGAAACTTCAGCTGTTATTTTAATGCACTAACATTAGCGTCTTAAATTTTGTATACTCAAGAAGCAGCTGTACTGTGAATAGGACTGGCCAAGTACCCACAGGCAAGCGAACAAGCCACTGCCAGAGGGTTCGCTGAAGACTGACTAAAAAGACGCCTGAAATATAGGCCAAGATTTGTTTAACCAACACCAAACACCATGTTGGTGGTAAGAAAGGATGAACAAGAGGGATTAAAGCAAGAAATGAAGAGAAAAAAATACTTCATTTTTGCTTTGAACTGTCTTGCTGCCGCAAGTACAGCAGTATTTGATACACCTGCACGGCTGCAGGCTGACAGGCTCTGCCCTGGAGTTAATAACCAGAATATTCACTGCCCAATTTTCTGTTAAGTTCCTCAAACTGCAACCTACGTTATTTTTTTTCGATTACTGAAATCCCAAACATGCTCAGTTTAACAGCCCCTCTCCCACAGTAACTCCAGGAGGGCAACTGTGAACCACAGCTCAGGTTTGACAGTGCCAACGCTTCCACGGCACCCAACGGGCTCCATGACCACCATTAATTTCCATAAGAAATAACATGTTCCAGTTTTGGAAGGGGAACATCAGCAAACAGAAGAGGCAACCCTGGCCAACCAGCTGCTACTGCTGCTTCATCATGGACTCCTTACTTACAGCAAGGTTTGCTTGTAGGCATTACTGTCTGCAACTCGGATGCAGTACCAACACCGACTCTCTCCAAAATTGAATTTTCACTACAGCAGCTGCTTCAGTACTGTCTTAGCCTCTTAATGTACCTCCCGCCCTGAATTAACTCCCTTGCACAGACAGACAGATGCCGCTTGGCCGGGGCCTGGGATGCATGTTTGTTTGCATGTGAACTCTCCCGTCCCACTTGTCTGAGGCCAGGCACTTGGACGCAACTACCTCCTCCATCCTGCTCTCGTAGTTGTCACAGGAGCTCCAGGGAACATTAGCAGAGATAAAAGATCTAGACGACCCACAGAAGGAGGGAGGAAGATTGCTTCAGGAAATATTCTTCTTTCAGCCACTCAGTTCTACTTGAATAAGCTATCTGAAAGCTATCAGAATAGCTTTCTCTTGAGAATGCTAAGCACACTTCAGCATTGAGGATTAAAAATTAACTCAGGTGCGTCGCAAGATACTGGGAACTGAGCAGTTCAGGGAAAAGGAAAAAATAAAGTGGAATCTACTTTTCCCCTAAAATAGACATTCAGTGATGAATAGCTGAACTTAAGGACTTCCTGCTGAATTAAAATGGCTTCTGAATGCCGGTGTTCCTTAGAGTTGCAGCACTGCCTGTGCCGGCTCAGAGCCTGCGAGCTGCAGCCCAAGGGCCAGTGGGGCTGGCACGTCCCACACTGAAACCCTGCAGGAAGCCCCACCAGAGCACAAGGTCCTTCTCCTGCCCATTTTCAGAGGTCCTTCTCCTCTCAATTTTCTTCCAGACCTTCCCTTGCGTCTGCAAAGGGCAGCAGAGGAGTTAAAGAAAAATGTTACTTCTGATCTTGCCCCGAGGTAGCGTTTCATTAAAACACAACATTTATTTTGTCAGAAGATGGGTAGTAGGCAGCTAACCCATGCCTTGGACTGAACCCCATGAGAGAGTACTCACCATGACCCAACCAACCCATGCCCTCATCATTAGTTGTCCTTTGGCCTGTTGTGCCAGTAGTGTATTTTATCACCAGGAATTTTTAGGACACAAATTAGGGATAGCGGGAGCCTCTACAGCATTTACCAAACACTGCAGATTTCCATACAAGTATTTTCATTTGACAGGGATTCTTCCTTACAAATATGGTTGTGAAGTCAGTTGGCCGAGATCTCAGTCCAGTTACACGTGCTTTCCTGGTATCATACAGTGCTTTTTTAAAATATGTGCCTGTAGTCAAGCTCCTCACAAAACCAGAGTATATCTGGTACAATTGCCTCCATTGACCAAACATCCAAAATTTGTCATCAGATTTATGTGGTAAGAACCATTTCCCACTGGCTGGCCCACTGGCCATGCTGGCTGGCATTTGTCATATTCCTGCCTTGCACTTACATTATGTGAGTCCTGATTCTCCCTCAGAAGTGGTTTAGACAAATGGGAAGGAGGGGAATGGTCCCCCCGTGCCAGGCGAAGGGAGCTCCGAAGTCACCCTCTTTATCATGCACTGCGGAGGAACCCTTGCAAAGGCAGAGGAGGCTGAGCTGTGCTTCAGCCTGCATACGACAAGTAGACGATGAGAGTGCACACCATGCGCATGGATGCATGGGCCAAGTTAAAATTGGCCCAAATTTGCCAAAATTCCCTTAAACTCTATTACTTTGTGCTTATCTGGGCTACGAAAGCTCTTCTGACAGCGTGGGGATGATAACCTGCAGCTAAGGAGAACCACTCAGGCTTCTGCATCTAGATCCTGTCAATGCTCTTAGTACCCCAAACATCACCCTTGCCAGACCTGTGTGTGAAAAAAGTCTGCTAATTTGGGAACTAACAGCTTTAAGTTTTGGGGTGAGAAAGCAACAGAAGGTGAGCAACTTCTCATACTTGGTATTATTTGGAAAAAAAGGGTTTATATCACATCTTTCAGTTAACTGTTCACAAATTACAACGTTTGCTGGCAGTGATTACAATAAGTAAAGTTGTAAGATAGCTTCCATTTTAACCTTTCATACAGGTTTCCGAGTCTTCAGGGCACAATGATTTAAGTCTAAATTCTCCTATTTGTCGGTCTTATCGGCTCAAAGCCTTATATTCTGATTCAAGTGAAATACATTTTCAAATGAGCAGATACAAGGCTGATTGTCACGGTGACAAAACGGCAAATGAAACGGCATGGTGATAACTGTAATACAGCATGGTATCTAAAAAGGCCAGGCTCCCAACAAGCTGCTCTCCGCAGGAATGTAGATGGATTTAGGAGGATGTCAGCTTGGAGCTCACCGGGGTCAGGAAGTCAGAATGCTAGGAATGACTCAGAAAGAAAGAAGGACGGGAAGAGCTTGGAAAGGCACAAGGAATCACACAAATCAAAGGTGCGGAACAGCTTCCAGGCCGGGAGCAGCTGCACACACTTGGAAACTGGAGTAGAGAAGGTCAGACAGAGGGTGGCCGCGGGATGAGGCCTGTAAGTTCACAAGTGCCAGCAGCTGTTCAGCGGCTCTCACAGTGCGGGGCCCACGGGCACCCAGTGAAACCCACATCTACCCCCAAAACAGAACATTTTTCTGTAGTGTGTAGGTAATCTGCCACAGGATGCCATGGAGCCAAACATATAGACGCCTTCAAAAATAGACTGCACAACTGTATGTCCTTCAAGGTCATTGAAACACACTGTATTTGGATACAACCATCAGGCATCCTAGTCACTAATAGCTGGAAAGGCACAGGAGGAGGCAAATCAAGCCACCTTTATGTCCTTTCCTAAGCATTTACCCCAAGTCACAGCTAGAAGGGTTATTTGCTGGTCCTGCAGAACTGTTCACGTGATACGAGTAAAAAGTCAAAAAGTTAAAAATACAAAATCAATTTATTGTTTTCTGTTTTGACTAACCATATTGCCCATAAATACCTCTTGCAAATCGTGAAAATGTGAAAGGAAATACGGAATATATGGAAAGGCATATTCCGAAAGGAACAGCAACACTCTTGCTCCCATGGGAAATCAGTGATTGCTAACACAAGTGTGAGGACGTAAGAACACCCTTGGGCAGGACTGTCATCCTGGAGAGGAAGATCCTACTCGGAGCAGCCATTTGTCCCTAACACCTGGATGTCCAGCCTGGCTGCAGTCACATATCTGGAAACACCTATTTTTCTCGGTCCCAAAAAGAAATTTGGAGAGGTGAGAGGCAAAAGAAAGTGCATGGAGGGAAAGGGGCTGTACGGGCGCCTGATGTGATGCATACGGGGATAAGGAGTCCCTGAGTGCAGCCTACGTGTATGGAGATGTGCCACATTCTCCCTCAAAATGCTCAGGAGGGACTAGACAATTAAGAGCTAAAGGACCTAAAAACCTCCTCAAACTCACAAAGCTAGGAACTTAAGTCATTCTAAAGCTCTA